TGTGTGTGTGCATCTGCTCAGGCCTGTGTGTGTGAGTGTGTGTGTGTGTGTGTTGCCAAGAGACTTTCTGAAGTCTTCTCTAATGACATCCATCTAATCCACTAAAGAGTTCCAATCCAAAACAAGATATCCCCGTCTTTAAAATGGCCGTGGCATTAGTGCAGAAATCATTACGGGATGTTTGCAGAATCACTTCGCCAACTTAAAGGAGCAGTCTGACAATTTGGGGAGTGTTTGCTGTCTTTACTTAGAGTCATAGGAATTTACACAACTATATACTTGCAAAAGTGTCTTAATGTTCCTTTTAGACTTTGAGAATACTAAATAATACACCAAGCTAATAGTTATCCTTTCGTGTTTAGCCCAGTTCAGACCAAAGATTCATAATGAGATGAAACTGTTTTCAGACTTTGTAGAGAGAGGTTGGGAGAGGTTGCAGTTGTATCGTCTCAGCCAGACTCAAACCAGCTGATGATGTCAGCCATGATTCAGCTTGTCAAGTTTCCAGTGGCTGATTTATTAAAGTAAGGCACATTACCTGTTTTTCAGCCAGTCAGCTTGTAGGGATTTCGACTGGTCAAGTCATCTACAAAGTGTCAGCAGATGATGGTTAGCTTGCTTTGGCATTGTCTGACAACAACCATCCGTTCCTGCCGAGCTCGAATCCTTACCATTAACATCCACGCAGTTGTTGACAGGTATGTCAGTCTCTGTCCTTAAGGTGTGTCGGTGTCGGACGTTAGGTCGCTGCTGCTTAACATAGTTGGTCCCTCTGAAGCTCGGGTCATTGTTTGTTTATGTTTTTGCCATTTCATCACTACTAAAGATACACAATCACAACCCTCACTCATATTTTAAGATGCTACACTTTAGATACAGCTACAAAATAAACCTGAAAAACTGGAAATCAGAAAGGAGATACAGAGAGTTGCTGCTATCGAGATGATACACCGTCTCCTTTAGTCTCATTGATGTAAACTTTCAGGTTGTCAGAACATTGCAGACCGGTGCACTGCAAGGTGTTCTAAGTTTCAACTTGTTTCGTCACAAATCTTTTGTCTGAACTGGTCTCAAGACTTTGGGAATACTAAGTAATACATCAAAGGTAAAATTAAGTCTGATTAAAAACCTTTTGCATATAGTTTGACAACATTTTTTGAAGTGAAAGTACTTAACCAAACAACTCATGTCAAGGTCTTCCTCAGAGAGTGGTGTTTGGTCAGTTGTCATGGAGATAGCTTAGCTGTCATGACATCCATCTGCTGAGGAAAGCCTGATTTATGGTTGGGCGCTAGACACTTCTAAGGAGTGTCACTCAACAGAAATGATGTGTTTTTGACAGAAAAAAAGTGTTGCTCAACACTTTCCTTTTATGACACGCACATGGAGAATTTTTTAATCTTGCGGACAACATCATATTTTGTCATCCAATGTGATTGGGTAGTCAAGGCGAGCCTCTCTGACACATCCACTTGAGTCTCGTGGCCCGGCGTGAGCAACATAGGGCTGAATCCTGTTGACCAAATCATCTAAACGGTTGGCAGACATCCAAAAATACCAAAACTGCATCTCTTCGTTCATGTCCCGCATTTGTTTGACCAAGACATATTCAACCTGCAGCTCCCTGGTTTGCTTCAATGGACGCACTGACCACCTTTTTGTTTTGCTGAAGCATTTATTGAAAACATTGTGAGGCTCCTGAAGTTGTGTTACGCAACATTTACCAAAAGTGTCATGCACCCGATCATAAATCAGGCTGAAGACTTTAAGATGTAATTGAAGCTCAGTAAAAAGCTTGTGGACCTTGAACTGAGAATTCTTTGTCAAACTAATGTTTCCAGGGTCAAGTGGGAACTTTCATCCTCAGCTTTTGATTTTTCATTTTCATTTTTAAACAAATGATTTCAAACTGATGAATTCTGAGCATCTCATTTTAGAGACAGACTTTTTATATGTGTTTATATGTGATTGGAGGAGTATGGGTCTTTTGTTTCAGGCCTTAGTCACGGTGGCTCCTTCGCTGTGTTCCGCAGAGTCTTCAGAGTCCAAGGCTTTCACAACAGTCGCTGCAAATGGACTGACGCACTTGTGGTCAGACCTGGGCTCCGAGTTTGTTTTGCTCTCATGGCACTGAGTCATGGCCCAACAAAGTCCCTGGAAATATGTTTTTTCAACTGACGTGCTCTGGTTTTCACTTCTAGTTGAACCCTCTCTGGATTTCCACCTGTTTTTTTCTTTTTTTTTCATATATATATTGGCTGGTCTTGTTACATGGACGCGGTCCGACTCTGCGTGAAATGCCAGGAGCCTTTGGTATGTGCTGAAATCATCTCAGGCTTTTTGTTTTTTGTTCATGTTGGTGAGGCCCAGTCTGTCCAATGGAAATCTGGCTGATTTGTGGTTCCTCTTCTGTGTTCTGCATTACATTTTATTTCTGTACATGAACCAGACAAGTCTCATACATTTGTTTGTGTCAATGAAACTCCTAGACAGCACACTTACTTCAGGGAATAAGGAACATGTTTCCATCTGAAAGTGGCCTGGCTCTCTGGATGGTATTGTCAGTCAGTCAACCACTTCCAGACTGAAATGTCACAACAAATATGGGACAGATTGCCTTAAAATTTGATGGATCCATCCCAGTGACTTTGGTGAAGCCTTGACTTTTTCTTTAGCCTCACTATGAGGTTCACATTTGTAGTTTAGAGTGAAATATCTCTACAACTACTGGATGGAATCCCATGACTTTTGGCACAGACATTCATGTTTCCATCAAGATGAATTGTTATAAAATGTGATCCTCTGACTTTTCATCTAGCGCCATCATCAGGTTAAATTTATGATTTATCCGACACTTGGTTTGTCACCAAATACCTGCAAAAATAGTGACATTTCACTCAGCCTCAGCTGTACTTTGTTTTTATAGCTATTTAGCAATTGTTAGCATGCTAACACACTAAGCCAGTGGTTCTCAAACTTTATACACTGCGTACCACCTCACAAATGATTGGGCTGTCCAACATTGAAATACAGAAGTGTAGGCCTGACCTATTCAGCTATGGCTAGTGCATAAGACAGGTATGGAGAGATGTCAGAGTGAGGGGGCTGCCCATGGACAGGCCCCCCGAGCAGGTGGGGGTTCAGTGCCTTGCTCAAGGGCACCTCGACAGTGCCCAGGAGGCGAACTGGCACCTCTCCAGCCACCAGTCCACACTCCATAGTTGGCCCACACAGGGACTTGAGCTGGTGACCGTTTGTTTCCTAACCCAAGTCCCTATGGACTGAGCTACCACCGCCCCTGTATGCCTAATCAGAAGATTATTTTCTGTTGACTGTTTTCAGCCACAGCCACACTGTATAAAGAGGAAGCAATAGGAGGCACTAAAACTCTTCCACACAACGTTTATACACCGCATGGGCCAGCCCTTCATCAGGTGCTATTGATACTTCATCGGCACTGCTTAAATTGCCTCTAGCACTTGCTCTTAGTTGATAGTTGCTCAGTTCTCCTCCTTCTCGGCACTTCTCTTCCTGATTGTTCCTGTTTGGAGCCACGATTGCAGTGTTTTTAAATCATTCATCAGACCTCCTTTTATTATCTTAACATCACAGTTTAGCTCATAAACAATTATGGACGTATAAGTGCACCTACGTTCATGAACGTGACTGTGTAGCAAGTTGATATTAACACAAGAATGTTACATTAAAGGCAAAACTTATTTTACAATTCATTTCAGGGATCCTATGATTTAAGTATTTTTGCCAGAAATGTAATATTTTGATTATATTTAATTTGTTACATTTTTAAAGAATATTTTGGAGATTCTTTCGAGAACCACTAGAGGGAGCCTGTGTACCAGCGTAGTTTGAGAACCAGTGTATCAAACTAAACACATAAGGCCTGTCAAACATAAGTATGTTAGCATTGTCATTGTGAACATGTTGGCATGCAACTACTTTAGTTAAGAAGAGGAAAAATTTGAATTACTACTACTTCACTCCTAACATGGGAAAAGATTTTGTTACCGAAAGCGTTCTCGTTTAGGTTTGTAGTCGAGTAGTATTGACGAATCACATTTGAGCGGTAAGTAAACATTCCTTGTGGAGATGCAAAAAACATTGGCTGAAATGCGGTCTTGGAACCCATCAGGTTTTGTCTGACAAAGATTTAGCTTTTTATCAGCTGTTTTTCGGAATAGAGCCGCTGCTCCTTCGTATCGAAAGGAGTCAGTTGAGGTGGTTCGGGCATCTGATCAGGATGCCTCCTGGGCGCCTCCAGTTAGAGGTGCTCCACGCATGTCCAACTGGTAGGAGGCCCCGAACATGCTGGAGGGATTACATATCTTGTCTGGCCTGGGAACACTTCGAGGTCCACCAGGAAGAGAGGGACGTCTGGAATACTTTGCTCAGCCTGCTGCCCAAAATGGCGTCTGCATTCATAAGCAGATATCTGTTTATAGAAATTAGCTAAGATGACCAGCACACAGAAGAGGCAGTCTTGGCCTGGATATCTGCTGGCAACACCGAAACCCCCGAAATATTGGCTGTTGCCCTCAAAGGCTTTTTGTTTTCAGACCCATAGCCAGTGGTTTCAGAGAGATTCAGAGATTCCATTTTCCATAATATGGGTGAAAAAAAATTATGTGTAGCTCAGTATTTGGAGTATTTCATATTATCCACTGTTTTGAATTTCTCTCTGTCTCGCTCTCTTTTTTTTTTAAGAAACGATCCCTGAAAGCCTGTGTAAATATTCATCACCAGTCAGTTTCACAATCCAACTCTTCAAAGTCCAAACTGAGCCCGAATTTTTCCAGGAAAGCAGCTGCATTCTTTAAAAAAGAGACAAAGAGGAGAGAGTGTACTTTGGCGCGCTGCTGCAGTGACTGTGTGCAGATGTGAGGGATGAAAGTATGACTGTGAATAAGAAAAAGAGGAAAAAGACATTTTAAAGTCCATAAATCCAGAAGCTGTCATAACGATTGTTGTGATGTGATGTCCAGTTTTTTACAGAGTACGGACCCGACTACTCGCTGGAGATCAGCCCAAGCTGTCGACCAGACCGAAACGACACCAAACACCTGGACCAGGTCATCAGCATCATCAAAGGTGTGTGTGGGTGTAATGTGTGGATGCACAGGTGCGTCTGTTTGTGTGGGTGTGGAGGGTAAACAGGTGTGCTTGTGTCTGTGTGTGTGTGTCTCACCTGAAGCCTTTGTGTCTCTGCAGGGCTCTTTTTATGTGGGGTTTCATGTGTCTGTTCTTGTTTCTATACGTCTCTGTGTGGGATGAAAGTATGACTTCTCTTTTTTTCCACCTCCCTGTGGCTTTTAACATCCTTTTGTGTGCATGTGTGTGTGTGTGTGAGTACACCGCTGACCCTGCTCTTTTACCCACAACCTCATTTAGAGCCTGTGTCTTGATACATGTGGTATTTTTTTCCGTTTTGCATCTTTCTCTTTCTATATGTTCCTTTATATGTGTGTTCGTATATTAATCCGAGTGTGTGTCTGTAGCATTGTGGTTTAAGCCTAAAGCCGGGCCTTTGGTCTCTGCGCTGACAGCCCACAGCACCCAGGGGAGATCCTCCGGCAGGGTAAAACTTGGGTGAAAAGTTGAGAGGCGGGAGAGCTGTTGTGAGGAGGGTGAGGTCAGGAACAAGCGAGGAGTACGTCTGCGAGTCGAGTTCATTTTCCGAACATTACGCTGTGTGTAGCGTTTTGTTTGAGATCTGAATTTGATCATGTCGGTGTCTTGTAAATGTTGAAGATCCGTCGTGTGGAAGTGTTAACCACAGACCAACAGGATATCCTCCTTCCTTTCTCTCAGTCAGTGAAATATTATATTTGACACAGCAGTTATCCATTCTCTGTGTCTGAGAGAGTGACTGATGGAATGAAAGGTGCTTAAAAGTAGAGGCTGGGAGGAAGTAAATATGGCCAAATTTTTAATTTAATACTATATTAAATCCTCTCTGAAGAACTGACAGCTTGAGTTTGGAGAGATGGTACCTTAATTAAAGATCGTCTCCAGTGAAAATTACATTTTTGACCTTGTCAACATGCACATATGGTGGTTTATATATGCTACAAATTTGCAGGAAAGCCCAATCAGTCTTTTTTCAGCATTGGCAGTATAAAAAACAAAATCAGGGAGTGCAGCAAAATGCCGCCTACCTACTTTTGTTTATACAGAATGCGCCTTTTTCGGGGCAATGGGGGGCGTGAGCAAGTAACAAAACCTGTAGCTCAGCGTGTGACGTAAACAGTGACGTGGGAGGGAAGCCGCGGCTGGTCAGTCCTTCGGCGATTCTCTCCTAAGTCGGCCCGTTCTTCACCGTTCCCGTCATCTGACGGTTAATGGCCTCTTCATTTGCGAGGACAACTCGGATCAACTCGCCAATCCGGCTCTGTGTGTCTAAACGCTCGCAGCCTGCCGGCAAAATGGCCCAACATTTGCAGGAAATCTGGCAGTGTAAAAGGGGCTTTGGCCTTCTCACATTTTTCTTGCATTCAGTCTGGCAGATTTCCATGTATTAAATGGGTTCCGCCAACATCTAGTATTTTATTATTGTTTTTACAAACTTAAGCGCCAGAAAAAATAGGAATGCTACTAAATCTCTTTTTCGTCCTCTTAGACGCTGCCTCCACCAGGTATGAAGTGTGACCGGATGGGTTGACTGCGGCAGTATCTTTTACTTGATCTTTGGGTTAAAGCTCAATTCTGTCACTCTTCCTTGGGTCCACACAAAACGTGAAAACAAGACAAGACATTAAGGTTCACATCGTAGACAATTTACAACACTGACAAATTTGAATAAAAACCAAAGAAGAGACAGCACTAGTTATCTCATTTGCAATGCCATCACATCAGTAGATCATAGAGACTAACCAACAGAGCCCATAACCTAGGCTTATAGAATCATATGTAACTGCATGAATTTCTGGTGTACCGGTGACTACTGGGTCTTAATACTTTAAAACTATGACCAGCTCCTCACCTCGCCTTGGATAATGTATTATTAAAAACATGCAGTTGCAGGTTTTTGACGTGATGACTATGCAATATGTCAGCCTTGAAGCTATCATCCAATCACTGCTTTTACAGAACATCATGTCAGCTACACTGAAAGGACTAATATGTGATCACAGAAAGATTTGGAGGTGACAGAAGGTTAGCCTTTCTGTGATGGTGCCCCAAGGAAGTACTCATCCATGTCTACGAAAGGTTGCTAATCATATGACAGCATTTTTACATAGCTCAGTTTTACTGTCCACATTACAAGTTCATGTTTGAAAGGCTGTTTTTTTTTTTACAGTGGAAAACTTCGGTTCATTGTGAACGGAAAGCCAAAACGGAGGGAAAAATATGTGTTCTCGAATTTTACCCGCATTAGGGGCTAACATGGTATCAATTAGCAACTTAAACTTCATAAATTTAAACGGGTCATTTTTACTGTAGCAAATGACAAAAAAACCCTGCTGGATGTTGTAGCGGCTTATCCAAACAGCATTAAGTTCTCTGCTTTTGAGAAACTCCAGGTCACATCAAATCAGGGGAACAGGAGTTTATTTGCCGAAATTCAGTTGGTCTGTTGGCTCGCATTAAATCATCACAACCGGAGGGGTTGAAAGTATCGCTGGTTTCCAGTCATACGGCTTTTATTAGGGGCGACGCAGGGAACGGGTGGATGTACGGATAGATGGGGGAGAATAAAAGTGAGGAAGAAATGAAACGCAGACGAAGATGGAGAGAAAATGTGTTTGGGTGCTGTGCCCCATCTGATGTCTTGTTCTCTTTCCTGCCTTTGCTCCGTTAGAGCTGATTCGGCCTTCAACTTTTAAACCTGTAAATCTACTGAATTTATAGTTACTGTAAAGTTGTTATGATTTTACAGCTTTTTTCCTCACAATATCCGAAAAAAATGCTCTTCCCTTGCATCCACTTCTTTCTTCTCCTCCTTCCATTGAAGATTTGGTCCTGGTTTCAACCTGTCACATCTGTTTTGTGTCCCCTCTTATTCTTTCTTTCATGTCTCTCTGTCTCCTCTACCAACTCCTGCTCTCCGTCAAGTCAGAGACTACTTTTTTTTTTTTTTTTCCAAAATGAGTTCTGTCAGAAAGCGCTTCACCACACAACAAGCAGACATCGAAACCACCAACCAGAAGTGAGCATATTATAATTTTAAATATCGGAGCAAATGCGCATGTCATTTTTGTATCTGTCTCTGATTAAAGAAAGACCCACATGTCTGCTGACTTAACAAATGCACACACACGAGCACAGAATAAGAATAGGCTTTGCACACACACACGCACACACACACCTCTGGGCAAACATGACATCATCGGGGTGGATAAGTGTTTCTCATGCTGTGCTGCTTATAAACATTGGTTTCCCTGAGAAACTGGGCAGTGTTAGTTTGTCTGTATGTTTGCGTGTGTGTGTTTGTGTGTGTGCACACACATCTGCTGTCTGCTGGCACGACTGGACTGTAAAGAGCTGAATCTTAAAATGGTAATCTACATAATCCTTTCCTTTTTGTTTTTGGTTAAGCATGTGTTAGGTCTCAAACACATATGTCTTACTAACCCTATACACGTGCCTCAAACACCACGGCCCTCATTTATCAATTTAACGTACAAACCAGCGCAGATCCAAGAGCAGAAATCATTTTATCATAGGGTGCACGTGTGATTCGTGGAGCATTCTTATCTTGCCAATCACAGCGTGGGGATTGTTGGTCGTTTAAATATCCTGGCCCAATATATTCTGAGTTTAAAAGGCCTCACCCCAAGAGTTTATGACTTGGAGAGACGTGATACAACCAAGAAGAGACATTTCTCTGAGCCAGAAACGGAAACACTGATGTCCCAGGTTCAGTTTAACCCGTTTGTTCACATTTGGCAGCCTGAAAAGTGGCATTAAACAATGTCAGAAAACGCAGTATGGAAAGAAATCACTGCTGCTTCGAACCAGGAACCCTCTTTTTCTGAGACGACAATGCTAACCACTGCACCATTGTGCCGCCCATGGATGCATGTTTGAGTTATTAATATGTGGCTGCAAAACTTAGGTTCCAGCCAGAACATGGTCTAATAACAATTCTTCAACTTAGCTAGAATTTCTCTGCTGCACCCTAAGTCCACATTGCCTCAAACTTGCGCACACAACCTGAGACCTGATGTGAGATTTTGTCGTGGCCGCTGCTCATGTCCACATTGATAAATGCCAAAGCTCTGCTAGGTGCTCGCCAAAATAATGCATTATTTTGGCTGTGTATGAGTAAATACCATTTTATACCAACAGGAAATTTTGTCCTGAGGGGGGCGCCAATGGAAAGGCCTAAAACGGGTGTATCGTCTGTACGGAAGCCATTTTAGGACATTTCAAATCAACAGATCTGTTTGGCTCAGCTCTACAGGCTCAGCTGAATTTTCATCAGACCCAGCTGGACTTTTCTCAGTCTCATCCATTCCTGATGTCCTTAGATTTAGCTGCGTGTTGAGTTGAATGAAAATGTTAGCACTTAAGCATGCTAACATTAGCAGTCAGCTTGTCAAGCTAACTTCATCAGCCATCTTTATTTTAAGACTTACAGCTCACTTTCATCAGTCTACGCTGTACTTAATTATGTTAATTTAGGCTCAGATGTACTTTGAACTGAACGCTAACACTGGCACATTAGCATAATAATGTTAGCATTCAGCTTATTAGGTTAGCTCTATATTGAAAGACTTACGTTTTACTTTATCAGCTGTCTTTATTTATAGACTTGGGTGTGCTGTACTTTATTCATACTAAGGCTCAGCTGTACTTTCAATTGAATGCTAACATTGGTACATTAGCATCATAACGTTAGCATTCAGTTTATCAGTTAGCTCTACAGTAAGACTTTTACTTTGTCAGTCTTTCACATTATCACTTTTAATTTCTCTGTCTCTTCCATGTTCTTCTTTTGTCTCTTCTTTCTGCAAAGTACTTTGTTGCCTCTCTTGAAAAGTGCAATATGAATAAAGTTTGCCTACTTGCTTGCTATAAGTAGGCCTAGCATGCAAATATGCCCACAGTTTATATATTTACACGTACGTTAACAACCATTGACTGAC